CCCCCCCTTGACCCGCTTCCAAGAAATGCGGCTGAGCTTGCTGGAGGGATCTTGCCAGCGTTTGTTTGCGTGATGGCTGCTACCCAGGTCTAAGCAAGCATCCTGGAGAAGGCCTGGAAGCTGCTCTGCCGCGGGAGACAGCCTCTGCCAAGAACAGACAAGGATGCAGTCAGGGCAAAGCAGCTTGGGATGACCCAAGACAGGCAAGCAGGAGAGGGACTGGCCAAAGTGTACCAGAGTTGGAGGGTGCAGAGAACAGCTTGTTGCAACCAACAGTTTATGGTCTGAGGTTTTCCTTACTAAGGACTTTTCTGCAAAAGCAGCCACAGCTCCCAGGAAAAGCAGGCTCCCAAGCGGGTGTGGACACAAGCTGCTCTCAGAATTAATGGCACCAGCAGCTAGTTACACATTCAAAACTAGTTAAGAGGTTCAAAGCAGGAACCAAGCCTGGACTTCAGTTTGGAAAAACATGTAATAAACGAGCAATGGAAAGAAAGTACCATGGAGGCTGTTGAAGTGAATGAGAAAAGTAGTGGAAGAGATTTTTATCAGTCTGATGGCTGAGTCAGCTGAGCAAACCAGTGCATGGCAATGGACGCCCCACGTGTCTCAGATGTGAATTTGACCAAAAAGGTCGCTGTAAACTTGAGTCAGACTTGGCACCATAAAAGTGGAAAGTGGCAGGTGTTGTTACAAAGGAAGTTTTAGGGGAGTCAGTTAATCTGACTTGTCTACCAAGCCAACTGCAAAGCAGATACCTTGAGAAACGAGATTTGTTGCACTAGGATTAACACAGCTTTATTTCAAGGAAGCCACAGCCTGCAAGTTTATTCAGGTTCTCTGAGGGACTCACAGCAGACTCACAGGAGTGTCTGGTAGTGCACTACATCAGTTTCTAATACGCTTTTGACCTAGTTTAAGTGCCCACATGCTCTGCCTCTGGCCTGTGCAAACAGCTCAGAGAAGTAGCAGCACGGGATAGTGAAGTGCAAGGTGTTTGATGTGGATGTGGAAGGAACAGGGAGCCCAAAGCGCTGGACTGTATCATGGGCGATGCCATGAATCCACCCATAAATGCTGACTTAGCTGAAACAACACCCATGAGGGCAGGGCTGAAGGCCACTGCCTAGGAGGTAGTGGGCAAAAAAGTGGGTTGAGACAAAGAGGGACAGTTGGCAGACAACATGAAATTTAGACCGAGAAATAGGGAACATAAGAGGTGCACTGAGAGCAACAGGCAACCCAGGCCAGCACGGTAGCAGCACACAAACCAAACATGCATTTCACTGGGAGTATTTAAGCAGTTGCACTGCAAAAGAACCTACCAGTTAATACAGAAATGAAACAGAACTCGGGTCAGGTATGAGCTGGGGAAAAATGCCAGCGGGCAGTGAAGCACAGCCCAGCAGGAGTGCAACCCACCAGCTACTCAACTGTCGCTGTGCTGGCAGGGAGCGAAGAGTTTCATGGGCGGAGGTGGAAGGGGGGCCCTGTGCTGCACCTGCAGACCTGCAGGGAAGACTCTCCCAGGAATTCGAAGTGGTACAAGAAAAAATGCAGGGATATTTATTGAAAATTTGGGCAAACAGACAGGGGAGAACGGCTGTCCACGAGTCAGCGCCTTGAACACTTGATGAGATGGGTGAGGCACGGGCTATGTAAGGCACAGAGGAGGGCCTGTAAAAGGACATGCAGGAATGGATGAAGTAATCGAGAAAAAGGCTTCAGACAAATTCTTTGTGAATACTGTCTTTGGGAGGGAAGGCTGGAGCTGCAAGAAAATACAATGAGATATAGACACGGGCAGATGTGCAAGTCTAGAGAGAGGACTGTGCTGGAGACAGGCCCAGGCTTCAGGCTGGAGTGGCAGGAAAATGCAGAGTTGTTAACATTGACTGAAGTGGCCTGGTGAATTTTTCAGAAAGGAGTGATACAACAAAAAAATCTAAAGTATCTCAGCGTTTTGTACTGTTTTACCAGTTGGACACAAAGGCTAACTATTCTAGATGCAACAAATCTGTCTGATCTGACAGTTTCTAAAAGAAAAGGCCTCTTGATATCCTGCTCTGGGCAGATTCCTAAACTGCTTAAGCGGAGACCCATTTATTCTTGGATACCACTGTCTGGCTTTTTCCCCAGCACTTACCTGGGGGTCTCCACTGGTTTTTCGGAGGCTCATATGACCAGAGTCGAGCTGGTGTACTGGGGTCCCAGAGATGTGGTAGCCATTCACTGTAAGAACAGATGGGAGAGTTAGCAGGCTTGCTGCTGGTAGCAAATGAATAATTGCACGTTTTATAAACTAATCACATAATTGAATATGCAGATACAATTCACGGTGCCTTTTTTGAGTCACCAGTGTTCACTGCCTCCAGCCTGAGAAACTACGGATGCTTTTCCCTATCTCAACAGCCTGGCAAAGTGGTGTGTTAGCTGCAACCCAGAAAGAGCCCAGAACCGGACTCTACAGATGCCCAGCCCATGGGCCCACCCCGCCCTCGGGATCCTGCGGCAGACTCTTATCAGGAGTTACGGCAGGAGTTACTAAGCTGGGAAGAGCCAAGAAAAAGAGACCCCTCCAAACTCAAAACAGTTCCCATAGTGCTGTTTGGTAAAATTATGTGTTTGAAGAAGCAGGGTATGCAAAAAGCACTGGTTTAATGAAGATGGGCTTTTTATGCAAAGAAAGCAAGCTTCGTAAGGAGTTTATGGTTCATGTATACAGCTGTAGGGTGCTTTATTTTTGGAATATACTGAGCAAAGAATAGTGCTCAAAGTAGGGTTGAAACAAGACACACAACTACATCACAAATCCTTTGCTCACAACAGAATACACAGTTTTCAAGCATACTTCCCACTCAGCTCTGCCAATACAGGGGCATCAGTTTGAAAAAATTCTATGAAAAGCATCCTCTAGACTGCATTATTTACAGTCAGCTCGCAGCAATGGCCTTTACATTTAACACTTTTTATTCCAGACTAATTTTTGCTTTGCTTTGTCTTTCTGCACTACCCGAAGCTTTTCAGTGTGATTATGCAGCTGATTCTCTGTTACTTCATTCCCTACAACTTCAAGTCAGGACAGAGGTGAAGTAGTCAACCCTGTAGCGATCACTTGCTAAAATGCTTCATGGTGCACATGTGCTCTGCATGGAAGAGCTATAGCCAGCCCACGTTCCTCTGCAGCTTTTTGCTTACCCTGCCTCGGCAGAAAGCAGGACTGGGAAAGGCAGCCTGTCCTTCCCTCCCAGAGCCGGCAGCCCTGCTGCCTCGCTGGGCCACCATCTGCCTCCGTGCTGCAAGGAAGGAGCCATCTCAGCTCTGAGCAGGCACTTCAGACAGCCGGCCAGAAGATGCATCCGTAGGGAAACAGCAAGCGAGAAGATGTATCAGAAGGGAACGCCTCACCATGTTTACTCTGCTACACTCACATGACCTTGTACCTTAAATATACATCCCACGTCATCACAGCATTTTCCTTTGCTCTCCTGAGCGGTAAAGAAGCAGATTCACCCAATGCAGTGGTCAGGCACAGCATCAAACAGTACCTGCAGAACTCTTCTGTGACACAGGGCTCTTTGGAGTCCCAGGCACACTGCTTGGTCGCTCCCAGGTCGTTTCTGTTGAAGGGAAACATCAATGTAAGGGTGACAGAGGCCTTGCACACACTTCAGAGTTACATCTATTACACACGTAGAAATGGGGCTGATCATCAGTGGTCGCTGAAGCAGGTTCTCAGCCTGTGAAGAAGGTGTCTGCACCTCCCTGCACTCCCTATCTCCTCCCATCTCTTTCTGCTGTCAGTTCCCAGCTCAGGATCCCTTGGCAGCCGGCTGCGATGGATGGAAACAGAGCAGACTGGGAGCTCCATCACTGGTTCTTCCAGAGCAGGTCTGCCCCAGGGCTGTGCTCAGCAAGAAAGCAGGGATACAGCTGCACACACAGACCACTGCCTGTAAGGCGCTGCCACGGTCTGTGCAGGCAGCGTTCCCAGGTGTACTTAAATCAAGCCCAGCGCAGGGTCCTACCTGCAGCCCACTGCGGACATGGAGCTGCAGCACAGCCAGTCGTGGCTCTTACCCTGGGAACACGGGCGGCAGTGCCTTTGCTCCTGCTCTCTGCATGAAAGGCAGCTGTGAATGACTCAGGGATGTGGTTTTAGTGATATATACACAGACCATGGCATTTTTTTCTCTCAGAAAACCTATTTCCCTGGCAAATTTCCTTTTTTCCACTCCCTTTTTTTCTTTAGTGGCTAGGATATGCACATCTATGTCCCACCTCTTCTGATACTCAGAGGACTGCTGCTGATTTTCCCCTCTCAGTTTCCTCTGTAGTGTAACCATTCTGTTCATTTACTCAGCAAGTGGAAAATGGTTTTTGACCACTTGCTAAATACACAAGATTTAATTGCAAAACTTTGTAGAAGTTGCAACAGCAGACAGTGGAGTTAAAACAGCAACTTCTGCAGAAGTCTAGCTAGAAAGCCCATGCCACCATTGCTTTTGAATAAACATATTGGTACCAAACCAAATAATACTGACTGACTGCCGATATCAAACAAGAAAATAAGCAAGCTAGTGCAATCAAGTCAAAGGACTGCTTTGGCCACTTCGTTTGAAACTGTCATTCTGAAAATCCCCACCAACAGCCATCTAAGCCTGCCAAAGCCTCTCAATATTCTGGATGAACATGGTCAAGTGGTAACGGGGCAGGAGAGGCTGAGAGAGCCCTTGGGCATAACAGTTCAGGGGCTGGCAGTCAGCACTTCCACTGGGGCACTTAAGGCCTCCTTTCCTGGGTAAGTGCTTATCTGAGCACCAGGGAGCATGCTAATATGCTTCAAGAACCATAAAAGGCCTATTGGGTAAAGAAGGGAGTACTGTTTTATCTGTGTTTATATATATACAGTCATGCACATATATACACGTACAGATGTCCTCAAGGGTTGCACTAGGTTCCTTATTTCAGGAAAGGACTCAGGATTACGGATCCCAAATGGGGGAAGGTGCCATCCCCCACACCCATAATGCCCAAATCCTAGAGACACATGCCCCGCTTCCCGCTCCCCGCCCCCTTCCCATCTCCCCAAGCCCCAGCATGCTTTTGCTTGCAAAAAAAACCACTTTGCGCTTTTTTTTTTTAACTTGCAAGTGCAAAACCTGGTGGACTAGAAGCTTTGATGAATCATGGGGAAGTATTTAAATTTCAGTCAGCTTTTTGTGAATTGGGTAGTAAGTTAATAAATTCCATGCTAGGTCAATGAGGAAGAATTGGAATGTGTTTTAACTAAACAGAAGGAAAATCAGATGCTAAGAGTTGTCTTTTATGAGTCAGCTTGTCATGGCTTAAAATACACAAGTGCATGGTTAAATAAAGACAAATTCTAATTTACATTTATTGTAATGCAAAGGTAAACAATAGAATATGCTACTCACGCTTCCTGTCGTTTTTTTATTTTTCTAATGTAAGTTGTTGATTAACGAATAATATGAGTGAGTTGATTTGAAGACAAGTGTTCAGAAGAATGGCTTTTGGACATCTGTGTGGAGGGGTTGTGATGTCCACTCTTGCTATGCCCAAGTGCAATAGTGGGGTAACATGTTTTTGTCGAACTGACTTTGACATTAGCAGTAAAAACAGTTACGTTCATGTTTGGCTTGGGTTCTTTCATGCAAGCATATCTGTGTACAGTATTTTTGCATTTTTGAGACTGTACAAAGGAATGTACCTAAAAACCTAACAAATATATTTGAAATGTAACTAATTAGTTAAAATTACCAGCTGCTTCTTGTAACTAGTCTCTGCTTTGCCTGCTAGCTGCTGTGGAGCTGGTGTGAAATACCTAATTCTTCCCCTCTGCCATACAGAAAGTCCAGATGCACAACTTCAGGCCAAAAATTATATACATGAAAGAGCAGTGCCCAGTGGTTAGCATATTTGTGAATACAATGCAAAACACTCAGTGTCTTGACAAATTTTCTAAAATAAAGTGACTGTGGAGCTATGCACACTGAAAAATAAAACAAAAAATGCTATAAAAATGCATAAAATAGAAATAACATCTGTTATTGGATAGGAAATGAAAGGAACAAGAACGTTTTTAACCCCATTTTTCATGAGTGCTCAGAGAAAGAAAAGTCCACTTCTACGCACAGAGTAACAGAGGGATCATTCCGGCAGCCGGAGCAGGAACACGAACTAACCTCGATCAGGACTGCACTGCTGTAATGCCATCTACTGGAAGCAACTAAATTTGCCAAGATAATACTGTAACATTAAAATTTCTCTGCAGCTTAGTCATGATTAGAAGTGAATGGGGGTTCTGGGGTGTGATTTTTTCCACAACTAGAAAAAAATGGCAAAGGCTTGGTGAGAGACAACACCGTTTGACAGAGCCAAGATAGAGTCTCATATCGGAGTACCAAATGCAGCCTTTGATCCTGGTGCTCTGAAAATCTGAAGACTACTTGTAACCCTGTAGTAAAACAATGATCACTGCTATTAGGAACAGATTCAATATCAGATAAGATTTTATATCCCACCCAATTTTCCAGAGAGGATGCTGGAGACAAGCTAAAACCTCTCACTCTGTGAGAATGTAATTTAGCACCGGCAGACCAACACCAACAAGTTCTGTCCTCCCTTATCAGCCACATGCTAATTATTCTATTTAGCCAATGAGGGGAAGGAATAATCAGTAGTTTCCTTGTCTTCCTTGTTTTCCTCTCTGGACTGTGAAGGAGGTCTGCGAGCAGAAAGAAGTCCTGCAGCCCTGGGAGATAACTATAAATGAGTTACCAAATAGCAAGGCAATAGAAAGCCACTTGTTCAAACTGAAATGACATAAGTGAGAGGAAAAATAGTTACCAGATCCAAGCGATACATGCCAACAGAACCAAAGAGGGGTTTCACGGGTGTGGTTAAACATTTCCTCCCAAAGGAAAGCGGAAACCTGAGGTGTTTGGGGGAAGAAAGTTCACTTTGCATCTGTTTGGCAGAATGAGAAATGACATGACGTGCCAGGCCTTCAGAGAGCCACACACTCTGGGACCTCATGTTAATCAAGAAACACACTTCTGAGGAGGTCCCAATGCAGACAATTGTTGTGATCAAAGTGTCGCAACTGAAGAAGGAATTTTATGTCCCTTCTCCATGAATCCAGCAGTGCTCTTCAGGTCAAAGCAGCCGCTTTCCAGTCTGAACATACAACATCAGCCAAACATCAGGGTTTTAAACTCTAGCATAATCCCTCCTGAGCATGCTTATATTGCTTTCAGGAATGGATGTAGTACCTCTGCATGGTGTCACGCATAGGGCTATTTTAGGAGCTAGACGCTCCGTAGTTTCATTGGCCAAACTATAAGAGCAGGGCAGAGCAAGCCGGAGGATCTCCAGGGCTGCTTACTGTGCAGAAACATTCCCTGGTCTTACAGATCTGGAGCAGCTACAATGTGCCACCCATCTGCTGGTGCTGTCTCACGACTTTGTAAATAGGTTTGGAGTTTGTTTTAGTTTTAACAGCAATAAGTCTGTAACGCTGAGCAGCTCCAAACCCAGTTTCTGCTCTGAATAACATGAAGCTGTGTAGGCTGCACAGGTCACTGGCGTGGATGAAGAACAGCAACAGAATAGGTCCCTCCTCAACGACACAAGAAGAAATCCTGAAAGCTTCTCCCAAACTGCTCCTGAAAACATGCAGAATTGGAAGTGACATTTAGGGTGGAACAGGCCCCACAGTCTCACCTCATCTTTTTCAGATTCTTTTTGCTCTTTCTAATTGCATGTAGGAATCACCCGTATGCACGGACAGTTTGAAAACCTCTTAGCCTTCCTTTGATGCTCCACTGTATCTCCATAGGCTTTCAGCAAGGTTTGCTGCCTGCCTGTGGCTTCCCGAAGTGCAAAGGTGGGTTGGACTTCTGAGTCGAAAGGAGTGCAAAGAGCCCTGCTTTGAAAATGGGTTTTCCTTTAACAGCGCAATACTGCACTCCCCAGCCCAAACCTCCAGGCTGCTTGAAGCCACCACGCTCCAGCTGGCTTTGCTGGAAGCAAACCTCACCTCACCAGCCAGAAACAAACTGCTGTCAGTGCTCTTACACCTTATCTCCCGTTTCTTACTAAGATCTTCCCCACATCTGTGATGAATCAGAAAGGGTTTCATGGCACTTCGTTTCTTGATATTGTGTGTGGGAGAAAACAGCCCAGAGGGAAGGCAGGGGGAGTGTGGGGGTCTGTGCACGTCAGGAGGGGAAACCACTTGCAATGCCCTGAGACTGGAGTAAACCATTCCAAACTTCAGAAGCAGAAGGAGTGGGTGAATGAGAGTACAATTAAAATGTTTTCCTCCTGTTCCGCAGAGGATGTGTAGCACAAGGAGATTTTGTTTCACTGGAATGAGGAGGTCTCACCCTGAGTCAGTTCACAGAACTGACTCCAGGGCAGGAAGAACTGTCCTGGCTCTTCCCTCCTGAACTCCTGCAGACCAGAGTTGCAGGACTCTCCCGATTCAGCACAGTGGCTCTTTCATCTTTGTGCTCCAATGTCTTGGTCCAGTGAGCCATGCAGTACTGAACCCAATATGGGTCACCTATAGCAACATTAGCTCAAAAGGCCCAAA